GGGGCCGTCAGGCAAAGGGGCTGCTTCAGAAGTGCCCCGCGGGGAGGCTCGGTGCCCTCCGAGGCAGGTTTGCCCCGGGCTTGTGCAAATAGGAGCTGCCGGGAGGCAGGGTCTTGTGGGATCACCGTTCCCAGCCAGCGGGAGAGCCCGCAGGCAGAGCCGGCTCCCCGGGAGCTGGTGGTCCTCAAATGTTTTGATCTCTCCCTGAAGGCTTGTGGTGAAACCCCTGCCACCCTCACTTACCTCTCTCCCCAGGCTAGCAAAGCTACGGTGCTGCAGCACTTCCATTATTATTGTTGGGGTGGTGGTGATGGTGGTTGTGGTTCTTGTTACTGGTTTGGACACGGGATGAAAAAAAATGGTAAAGCTGCTTCCCTTGTTTTTCTCTTCTCTTGCTGCCTCTGCCCTGTGCTGGGACTGGGAAGGATGCAGAGGAACTAAAAGAAAGGAACGTCAGTGTGACATGGAGAGGCAGAGGACTGTGGGAGCTGGGGGGGAAGGGAGACTCACAGGGAGACAGGAAGGATGGGAAGAAGGTTAAAGATTGGGGAAAACATATGTGCACATGTCTATAGACTTCCAAACCATTCCCTTGTGGTCTCAAAGTCTTGATAAGTACTGGTGTCTCTTTTTCCTCTTTCTCCTACTTCCTCTGTTAGACTTTTCCCTGTGAAGTCCCTTTCTCCCTTAGAAAAAAGAGCAATGCAGGAGGGACTTTCACAAAGCTCTTCAGCCTCTCCGGTACCAAACATTAACCATAATGACAACACTTAGCCCTAAACTTAGGCCCTGCTTACCCCGTACCTAACCTTGACCCCATTTGATTTTTTCAGCAGTTGTCATCCTAGTTCTAATGGCCTGTACAATACTAGGCCATGCTGTCACTAAACCCTACTTGATCCATCAGACTCTCCAGATTAAATCATTTGGTTTAATATGTTAGGACTAACTCAGGTTGAAGCCTAGCAACCCTAGCATTATCCAGACGTAAATGCTGCTTTTCAGCTCCAGCTATGACAAGCCCTTAACCTTGGCCTGAATCCAGTTAGGCCAGCTAACTCTGCCCCAAACTTTCTCCCAGCATGGCTCTCATGTTGGTCTGGAACATTGTGTTAAACCTGACACTTCAGCCGCTTCTGTTCCAAGGACTAATAGTAACCTTAAACTCTGGCCCAGTGACCTGAACTTAAACACTAGCCCAACTAAAGGTGTCAGCGCTCAGTAGAGCACTGCAGCACACAGACCGCTTAGGAGTACATTTAACTTCTCAGCCCCTTGTGGACCTGAAAGATGAACTTCACCTAAAACCAAACATAGCCCATCCCATCACTTTTCCTTTCCCTTGCTTTGCCCAGCACTCCTGTGTGTCGTGGCATCTGCAGGATCAATGAATTAGCCTGGTTTTGCAGTCATTACACAAATTCCTGTATTAAGGCCAGAAAAGCAACACTTGACTATCCCAGAACTAATTGCAGGTGTATTTAGGAGTTCGCCTCTTTCAGCCCAAGTGGAAAATTGATGACTTTGACAGACTCAAACCCAAACCCTAGCCTTTTGGTCTAACAGCAACAAGGAGGTCTTCTAGGATCCAGAAACAAAACCTAACTTTCCACATCTATGTCCCAACAAAGGACAAACTTCTTGCATTTAGATAGGGTTCATCAGGCAGCCCTTGCTCTACTCTGAGGCCTTCTGTCACAAATCCAAACACAACCACAATACCATCATTAACTTGAGGCCCAGGATGCATTTCTTAATAAAAAACCCCACAGCTTATTTCCCTCAGATGTCCCTAATCTGCTTACTATTTCTGCAGCCTTTACACGTTCCTGCAACGAACAAGTCTTTTCTGGTCCTTCTCTCCTAAGGCACAAACCTGATTCCAACCAAACGTAGCCTTAAACTAGGAAAGGTAGCCCTCACAGCAATAGACCTAACTTGCAGTGCAACACTACCTTCATGCTACAGGCGTACAGACCCTACAAGAACTGAAAATATATCTTCAGCCCAAATTGTTGCCCATTAGATTTTTCTGTGTGCCAAACCTCATCCTATTTCAGTGGCACCTACAGGATTCACACATAGTATCAGCAGTCCTTGCCCTTCTTTTTCAAACCTTAAACGGAACCATAACTGTCGTCGGTACCACAGCCACTGCAAAACCCAATGGTCCTGGAACCACAATTCTGTAATATCATTTGTCTCGCACCCTAATCCCAGTTTTCAACCTAACCATAGTTTAAAGTTAAAAGAGGTGACGCTGCTGTCCTGTGAGTATCCCACACAATCTCACTAGTACTGTCCTCCTTGTTTGATGTTCCCTAGAGGATTAAGATGGTCACACAATTCTCCACCCGGTTCTCTCTCAGACCTTAGCTCTGTTCCTAACTCAAACACTAACTGTAGCCTTAACACAAGAATTGTTACCGCTATGATCCAAAGCATGTACAGTACAGTTTTCATCCTGCTCTGGCAGGCTGACACACCCTCTTTTCTAAAACTAGAAGTGACCCTGGCCACTAACAGATCAAAATATATCCTGTAAGCTATGCTACAACCATTCTACTACTGTATTAGCGTCCCCAATTTAAGATGGCAATCCCAATAAAATTCAGGAATAAATACAGTTCTCCAGCCCATTCTTTCCTCTAACCCAACTGTATCACTATCACAAGAATCCCTACTATCAAGGGGTAACCCCTCAAAACTCAGTTTTACCTTTCATCCTTGTCAGCATCAGACCTCCTCCTACTTTGGTGGTCCTGACAGAATCTAGGGTACAATTTTCCAGCCTTAGGATTCCTCAGGAATCCTAACCTAAATCCCGGAGAGGCGATACCTTGCCATTCTGCAACTAACTCTAGTCCATTCAGTTCACTATCAACACAAGCCTTTATTTTTGCATGGCATACCCTATGAAAAACAAACAGAGGCCTCCAACTCTTGGATGGGTGATCTTTGCTATCTTATAACCAAATTGGGGCTGATTTGGTGCTGCCGGCACCAGTCTATATATTACTTCAGCAGCCCTCAGAAATAAAAATATTTTCCAACTCAGTCTTAATCATCACTTTAACTCTAGGTTTATCCAAAGAGAGGTGACCTCTATCATATGGAAATGAGTTAAAGAGCATTTGAACGCCTTAGTGTTCAGGAATATATTGTATACTTCTCTCCTAAACCATATGTTAACTCCAAATTGTAGGCTAGTCTTAACCCAAAGGAGGTGACCACAAACACCCCAGGAGGGTAGTTCTTTCAGATGACACCCATTTTGGATATGTTCTGGCCTGATTAGGGCTTCTGTCTTTGTGCTAGGGCTAGTACGGTGAAGCTTGAAGAGCGAGGTTCATCTATGGAACCCGTAGGTACCACAGGAAACTGATGAAGCTGGATGAATTCTGAGATAAGGGTGAGACTAGAGTTAACTGTTGGTTGGACGGTATTTACCTGGCTTTGTTGGATGTATGACTAAATTTGCAGTCAGACTAATGGGTTTGAAGATTTAAAGGCATGGACTGTACAGCATCTATTGTGCTGCAGGGAGGTTGGTGGGCAAC